AGGAGACAGCGAGAGTATATTGGTCAGCATGATGGGCAGTGATCTCAGTGCACCAGTGGCCTAAATATTATCAAATGTTCTGCAGGCTTCACAGCAAAGAGTTTTCAGGTTGGACTGCAAGGAGAATTATTATAAAAAAAAAAAAAAAAAAAAAAAAAAAAAAAAAAAAAAAAAAAAAAAAAAAAAAGCTTTGTGAATCCTTACAGGGAGCTTCTCCGAAGCATGAGAGACAATATGGCATAAGCACAAAGGTGGTCCTTTAAGCATTTACCAAATAGGCAATGAAGGTTGTCATCATGATAGTCATGAGGCTGACACTTGCCTCTAAATACTGAATGAGATGTAATAGGGAGGTAGAAGGGGAGCTACAAAGGGTGAAAGTCAAGACAAGTAGCTTTTGTCTGATATGATAAAGGGTGGGGGGGCAGCGGAGGGATGCGAAAAGTGACATCCTCAAAGCAACGGCACAGAGAAAAGATCTTTGCAGCAACGCTCTGAACAGATATGCACAAGGAAAAACTGAATTTGTCAAGGTTAGAAAAAAAAACCTACTGCAGTAACTGAGATGTGAGATGCTAAGAGCCTGGATAAGAATTTCAGCTACAGAAGGATAGGAAAGGCAGTAGCTTAGAAGAGTGCAGAAAAAATCTGCAAAACTTAGACATAGCCTAGGTGTGAGGACTAAATGGATGTTCAAGTCAAAGGGAATGAATATGGCTGATTGGCAAGAGAGTCACAGGTTTCTCAGATAAGAAAAAAGGAGGTAGTGGGGTCACTTTAAAGGGGAAGATAAAAAGGTCTCTTTTAGCCATTTTGAGCATGTGCTGCTTACTCAAAAGCTCAAGCTTCTCTCCATAAGGACATGTCAGACAGGCCAAAATTTTAGTGTGAACAGAAATGACAGGTATAGAGTACGCGACTAGGTGTCTGGGTTATAATCAGCTGTTATGGTGGATGTTAGCAATTTGAAGACATTTGTTTGGTGGATAGAACACAGGAGAAATGTATAATAGAGAAGGCACGAATGCTTATGTGGCCAATTACCAGTTCTGTTTTCAAAAGCAGCATGACCTATCCTCCCTTCCTAATTTAAGTGTTATAATGCCAAATGAATATATAGATAACAGTTTTGCACCTAAGCTAGCATTCTCAGATTCTGACAGCCAATGCTCAGCTGAAAGGACCTCTACATTTACTTCCAATTACAGATTTGTGGTGACTGGGCATCCAACCAAATCCAGAAGACATGCCCACTTTAATCAGGATGAGGTCAAAGTGCCAATCAGCACAGTCAATGGAAAAGGTGATATCCAAATGATATCTCTGCTGATGAAGGGGCTGCCTACAGATATGAATGGCAGTTCTGGAGGGGATGAATGGTATGAGAAGGGAGTGGTAAAGAAAACACTAACAAGGAGGCATGATACATCACAGGATAATGCCAAGAAATAACGTGGCAGACAAAACACAACCAAAAGAGCCTACAGCTCTGGCTAGAATGGGGTCAACTGGAACAGTCCCACTCTGAGGGGACAGTGGTGCTCCAAAGCATCTTTGCAGAGGCCATCCAGGGGTTCGTGGGATTGGAAACTCTCTTATGAGCTAACAGGTGAAGTTTCAGAAACTGCAATGAAATTTTTGCCCTGAAATTTAAGAGTTCCTACAGCCTGACAGCCCTACGCCATTAGAGATGTCACCTCATGCAGACAACACATCCTTCCACTAGTCTCCTCCAAGCTTCAGCTGGGACTCCTAAATGGGCTGATGTATACATTCAGTGCAGCAGTTTAGCTTCTCTAACTTGGAGTAGCCCAGTAGCTGATGCCCTGAAATCATACCCAGACTGTCCCTCCTTACATAAGGGTGAGATTTCTGACAGTCTCTTTTTCCTTCTTAATCATCAGATGAGGGCAGCCCCTCATGCCAGTGTCAGTCAGAAGAGGGGACCCTCCCAGAGATATATGCTTCCTTCCCAAGAGGTCCCGGTCAAGTAGAAACCAAGGGAGCAGATGAGATCACAGAGAGAATAAGAGGAGAAAGGGACTAAAAACAGAACCCTGAGGGACAACGAGAAGAGAGTGAAGAGCTTTTAAAGGATCCCATGGAACAGCATTCCCAATAGGAGGTGAACATAGGAGTGCAAACTCATGAAAGAAAGGGAACGGAGCAGAAGACCATTAGTGACCTTGTACTCTCAGAAAAGACAGAAGCGACAATGAAGGAGAAGGAGTCTAGAAAAGACGAAACAACAAGCAGGTTCCATTATTCTTGAGACAAAGGAAGTTGAGCTGGCAGTTGGAGAGGAAACTGAGATAAAGTGTAGAGTCAAATGAAAAGATGACTGTCCACTGCAACCTGCCTGTCCAACATGTCCTGTAATTACATAGCCACACACTGTTAGAGTGGATGTAATTACAGGTATCTCAATTCAGGAGGCATCTGGTGACTACCCTGTACAATCAATGTGAGGGATACATTCAAAATCATGTCTTGGTAGAAGGCAAAAACCACTCCATGCAAAAACATACCAAAACCAATTTGGGGAAGGAAAAGCGTTATGACAAAACATGCTCTCTTGGTTGCCAAATAGAAAAGCTGGGTACTTTCAACCACCAAACCAACACCATGTTTGACTTGTTAATTTCTAGATGGTACAGTCATCAATTTTGGCTTAATTTGTTATTTAACTTCATCACCACAACTGGATGTCATTTTACTTACTCATCACTCTAAAATAATAACTTCATTTAATTCTTAACACTGATTCCGAAGTTCAAACCTGCACTACCCCCAGCTCTGGTCTATTCAACAGCTTAAAGTAGATCATGGAGCTTAGTAACATCTCTGTTAATGTAACTGATGCAATCACACCATCTTTTACTCATCTCTACAGGCTAAATATCCCCAGATTTGTCATCCTCTCTTCATGTATGGTCTCTTCCATTCCATTTATAATCTGCGTTCCTATATGCTATACACATGTCATACTATGTCTCTTTTCAAATAAGATGCTTTAAACAGGATTCTAAATGTGCCTGGACCAGTATTTATACAGTAGCAGCACAATAATTTGGGATATAGCCAATATACTGCTCCGATACAAGCCTCCTTTATTGCTGTTTCTGACTGGACCAAGAAGACAAATGTATAACAATAAAATACCTACCAGACAGCCTTTTCCTCTTCCATGTTAACTAGTTCAATGCCTAGCATGGACATTACTTAGCTTTTAGGACTAGACCGATATGTGGCATGTCTTGACTCCTGCAACCCAGGGCAAATGCAGACTCTGACATACAGGAAAGTTCGGAATGTGCATATGAGAATCTGAAGATACTTTTTGTTGAATCTATTAACAGTAATACATGCATAGCCTTACTTTATGTTCACAATATAGTTGATGCTTACCAGCATGGTAGCACTCTCCTACACTTGTGGTTGGAGTAATTTTATTTCAGAATACCCTTGAACAAATATAAGAAGGACCTTCCAAGGGCTGGCTGTAAACTGCACCCCAGCCCAGTATCTCCAAAGTGATGAGCAACTGCTCCACCAGCCTCAATATATCCCATCTTTCAGGCTTATAAGGGGGAAGAACTGTGATAGCATAAGGTAGCTCTATGTTTCTCCAGCACTGAAAGAGTCTTCTCTTATCACATGGCAATGCCTTTCTACATTGGCAGGCTCTCTACATCATTAGGGTGCCCAACAAAGGTTGGAGAAGGCAGCAGGATTGGCCCTTCAATTCTGTACTCTGCCCCCACATTAATTCAAATTGTGAAGATTATCCTTTAAACCAGATACAGCTTAATCTTCACTATTTTTTTTCTTTTAGTGCTATCTGTAAAATTAATGATCTTGTGAATCAACATTTATCTCATGAGATATATGAACTACCACAGCACTTGCTGTTACTAAGAATAGGAATTACCTAGTCAAGTGCAATATGCTACTAGCTGCTGCTGTGCTGCCTGCTCTATCTTTGGATGAAAATGTCAGGTTCCAGTTACACAACCAAGCTGAACCCACTTTGCAACATTGATAGGTTCCAGAGTCTCACTGTCAACAGTGATCTAGTGTTCCCTGCTTTGGGGCCAGTTTCTCAAGATGATCCCAACTAATTTTCAATAGGAGGAGCTACAACACTCAGTACATCACAGAATGAGGCTATTTATTAATTTCCCTAGTGTACTATGTATAGCAAAACTTAGGATGTTCCAGCACCAGAAAGTTACCTATCCAATGCTCAAGTAGGTTTCAGATGACACAGTGATTGCTAAGGTACAAATGGCCAACTGTTACCTTGACCATAAAACATTTAAAAAATGAGTTCTTCCACCTTCTAAATCCTCCAGACACTAAGCACTTCCAAAGTGCCCTTAAAACAACCAGAAGTATCAGAGCTAACTAGCTGGGACAGTCCTTCCCATGTAGCTGCCTTTCTGTACAATCCTCATTGAAATATTTCTCCAGGAGAGACTCTTTCTTTTAGAATGAGCAATGACACAGAAAACACTACACTGGTACCCATGACAATTCTTTGCATGTGGATACAAATGGGCCTCAGAAGATTGCCACTGCATGGCAGAAGTTGATGCAAATGGATTATCCCAAAGTGCTCAACTGGCCTGATTTGAATGGTTGCCCAGTTGTGAATGCCACTCATTGAGGGACAGGAAATCTCCAAGGTAAATTAGTTTGCAGAAACTTCCTCCCTTCAAAGAACCTTATACTTCACCATATAAATGTGGTAACACCTAAGAAACAGTGGGTAGATTATGGTTATTGCTGAGGATAAGGAACCATGATCCTGGCTTCTACTCTTGGCTCTGGTGCAACTCTGGACAAAATCTCTTACCTTCTCAGGGCCTCCATATGTCCATCTGTAAAACGAGATGGGAATACTCACCACATAGGAGCCTGGGGAGAGTAAAAACTATCTAAAACCAGAGGTGTTGTGAAAATGCAAATGATCTAATAATCGCTATAATCCATCTTACCTAATAGTCAGGTTCACAGACTTGGGTGATCCATTTATGTTGAACCTAAACTCCTCCATGAACTCTCCTAAGATGGTGGAACTGAACGAGATTTGGATGGTTTGAAGCCCACCTGGCAGAATGATGCCTTCCTTGGGATCAAAGGTGAAACAAGAGCCAAGAGCAGTAGATGCAGGGATCAAGTTAAACAGGGCATCAATGGCTCCTTTGTTAGACAGAATTGCCTGCAACAAGAAAAAGGACAGAAAGAAAACATACAAGAAACCTTCCTTTCTCACATATTGAATTGATTTGTTTTCTAATTAAATGATTAACATCTGTAAAGTGTGCGTGTTGGGGGGGGAGAGGAGTGACTTGACACTGCCAGATGGAAGCCAAGGAAAATACAATAGGTCAAATGTTGCACTCCCTTACACTCATGTAAATCTGCAGTAATTCCAAATAAATAAAAAGGGTTACTCTGGATTTACACCAATGACTTTGAAAAGAGAAAACAGTCCTCTATGCTGAACATGCAATGCAAGACAGACACTCAGCAAGACCCTTCTGGGTTAGCTCCATTGCCAAAGAGCAGCCAGTAACAATCCCACCAGTACTGATGAATCATTCTATGACCATGTTGCTCGTGATGGGCACTCATCCTGCAGGGTGCTGAATGAATTTGATTCCTACTCCAGCACTAAGCTGAGGGCACTGGCTCTGTGGTAATAATCACATTAACAATACACATTTCTTGTTTAGAGCTGGGAACATAAACCACTGCAAACAGAAATGTTATAACTGTGTTTTATAGATAGGTATATTAGACAAAAACAGATATCAATTTAAATGCAGGCAATATAATAGCAAAACCCGTCAGTTTCATGTGCAAATGATGTGACAAAACATATTATACAGATACCCAATCACACCCTTCCCAGGGAGTATCCTTATATTTATTACTTGGTTGCTTACCCTACCCTTGAAAAGTGCTTTGGGGTAATCAGATGATAGGTGCAATGATACTGAAGTGCAATTTTTATTAACCCACTTCTCATTTTATTGACCACCATTCTTTGCATGTAACAAGGTCACCTGCTGTTTATTGCACTTTAAAATATCATTCTTGCTATTTCCAGAGGCATCCACAATACTGATTCAATGCAGGGCCTTTTCTTTTTTATTTAATTTGCTGGTTATCTTATCTTGACTAAACTCTGTATGCCAGCTGAGAAACAGGGTGCATGCTACCCCTCAACCTCCCATTCAAACAACTGTCATCTCACAAAGATTCAGAAGCATAGTCTATGAATTTAAAATTACTCAAAAACAAATGTGATTTGGGATTAGATTCTGAAAGTTCCTAAGCACCCACAAAGCCCACTGACTGGAACAAGAGCCAGAGCAGGCTCAACTTCTCTCAAGATCAGACCCTTTATGCTAGTCAAAATGTCACCACTTCTTCCAGCAAATGTTGGCAGTGTGTCACTGACAAATTTTGCCCAAAGCAAAGTTGTAAATTTCCTGACTGCTCCAGGGCAAAATCCTGCCACTTCCATAGACACATTTAATCTATTTTCGGGTCTGGGCTTTTGTTTTTCTCTTTACTACTTTTTGTCCTTGCAGAATCTGGCAAACGAATTGCATCAGAAGCAAAAAAATGTGATTTGTTTTTAAATGTGGCTGTTGCATGTAGTTCACACTGCCCTATTCCTCAATGGAGGAAATAAAAGTAAGCATAAAACTACATGGGCCTCTCACACACCTTGCTTCTCAGTCACACTAGATACCTAACAGAGGCTGCACCGTGGTAAATTTTACTCACTACATAGCTGCCAAGAAACGCATTTGACTAAGGGCAACATCCAGTTATTCAAATTTTCTCAAGTACAGAAAATAATAAATGGATAGAGAAAGAAACAATAAGGCATCGGCATTAAAAATTCATAGACAGCAAAATATTTTTGTAAGAAAACACCTTTACATGTCCTTCCCTGCCATACCCATGCTTTCAAAAATGTCCAGTATGATGCATTGCCTCATTTAATACCTCTTTAGGTTGCTGCGTTTTCCATTTGTGCTAATATTTGATGCTTTTGTAGGGGGGAAATGATTAGGACATTCCTTTGTAGAAACTCTCTGTTTCTTAATGATTCTTAAAGTCCTTGCCGCAAACAGTGTGAAGGCTGGGGAGTGAGATGTATTTGAAATCATTTGCAAAGAACAATTTTGAAATAACAGAGGAAATGGTATTCTCTTAATCTTAGGAATTACAGGATATATTGAACAAGAGGGTTGTTTGCAGCAAACTTCCGGGAATCTGAGTTCAAATGCAGCAACCTTGTTGCAGCTACGGTGTCTTCTTAATAATCACAGCACAGCGGGACATGAACCAAGTCAAGAGCTGTCCTTTATATGTAGAGTAGCTGGGTTGACTCTCCATCCTCCACACTAGATCGCACTGGGGCTGGGCTGACTCCCTGCCCCAGCACGATCTCGCACAGGGGATGGGGAGTCAACCCAGCTGGCTGACTCCTCATGCTCAGTGGAATGTCAAAACAGCCTTTCTGTTTTGACAGAATGGAACAGCTGTTTCGAATCAAAATGAAATTCGAAAAGGAACGCTGTTTCGTTGAACCATCAAAACTCAAGGCGAAACGAAACGGTGCTGCTTTGCAGACCTACTGTGTATGTATAGTTTTAATGTTAAAAGTGCTTCTTATTCCACTCAAAATATCTTATCTAGAAACCCTATAAGAAGGATGTGGCAAGAAAAAGTGCCTTCCTAGAAGCAAGCTGCAATCACCACTTCACAAAGGAATACACACCTTCCAAAGACATGGCTTTCAGAGCCATTCAGAAAGCCCTGAGTGTGCTCATTTGGAGCTTATACTGAAGACACCAGGTGCACCAGCTTGAGTTACCTGAAGCTGTGGAGTGCAAGAAGCTCCCTGATCTGCAGAGTTACTTTCCCTTGACTGCAAGGCTGTTCAGTAAGGAGTTAGGATATCTGTTGTACGTACACCATGGGCCAAGTACTCACCTCATAACTGTGTGTTGACCCAACGAAGATCTTCCCAATATCTAGCTGGTCAAAACTGAAGATGAGCTTGGGACCCATTCCTTCCCCTCTGATACGCAGGGGGAGTCGGGTCTCACGGCCTGTGAAGAAGATCAAATTTTCAGTAACAAGACCCAAGGGCAACAACTGTCAGGTGGAAATGGCCCATCCAGTCCAGGATCTTGTCTCTGACAAGGGCCAGAACCAGCTGCTTTGGGAAAGTATGGGAACCTCCAGAAGGTGCAGGTAGGATAATTTGTCCTCATGTTGGTCTCATGCTGGTCTTTTATGTTTAGAGGTTGGTTGAAGCCCTGAAAGTTACAACCTAGAAATTACTTAAGAACCATGAAGCACTGGCCATTTCTTCAGGGTGTAATATGTACCAAAATAATTTTGGCTATGTAAGGTCTGAACACTCACGCAGGTTCTTAGACAGAGTGCAGGACCTCCATCTAACCCAGGAGGTGCACAGCCCCACCAGGGGAGATGCCTTGTTGGACCTAGTGCTGGCCACGGGTGATGAGCTGGTAAGGGGGCTGCGGGTGCTCGACCACCTGGGTGACAGCGATCATCGCCTGCTGGAATTCACCATCCAGCGTAAGGTGGCAAAGGCATGCAGTAAGGC